GTGCGGAAGAGTCAAGCACTCCCAATTGGGAGAGGAGATACCCCCTGCCCCTTGGCAGTCGTGAGGGTCCAGCGGAAGTTGTATTCAAGGACCGGTTGGCCCCCCGGCCTAATGGAGGCTCTGGGTCATCTGAACCAAATGTCGGATGGACAGCATAAAAAATCTCATCCAATATACGATCTTCGATTACCGTTGTTAATGGCACTCTGCAATAGGGGCATTCGTCACTTGTCAGCTGTTGACGACATGAGCCGCAGACATTATGTCCATTTGCACACTTTACGAACGGTGGCCGCAGAGGATGGTCAAGTATATCGCATTTGTTGTTTTCAAAAATTTTTGTAATAGTGGTCCGCAATGGCGGTTTCTTGGAGTTCTGTTGCTCAGTCACTGTGAACACAGAAACAAAGGGGGTAAGGGAAGGGAACGGGATACACGTAAAGGATAGAGCAACAATTACAATTGTTTGTTTGAAGTCTCCTTATCTTTCTCCCTTTGGAGATGTGAGATAACCGCAACCTGGTTCCCGTAGAACCATTGATCGAATTGCAATGTTGCTTGTAAGAGGAAATTGGAGGAGAGATCCAAACGGTGAGGGGCGGAATTTGTGGGAGACACCTTATGTTCCTCAAGGAAGGGAGGGGAGAACACACTGGTCGATGGAGCGGAGGGGGGGAAGACACACTGGTCGATGGAACGGAGGGAGAGGAAGACACACTGGTCGATGGAGCGGAGGGAGGGGAAGACACACTGGTCGATGGAGCGGAGGGAGGGGAAGGCACACTGGTCGATATGGGAGATGGGTGAGTAGATACTGACTTCTCGTTATTGCTCATCTTGAACATAGAGTAGATTTCATTTATTACGAGAAGGCTAAATTAACTATTGAGAACTACCCAATGGCAGAGCATACAATTTTACCACCGGTCTTTTGTACACTCCGTTGGGAGTTTTGACTTCTACTACTCTCGTGTTGTTATCTTCCCCTGGAAATGTACGTAAGACTCGGCCTCGAGTCCATTTTAAGGGGGGGCTTTGAGGATCATGGAGAAGAACCAATGTTCCCTCCTCCAGATTCCCGGCTTGTTCCAACCACTTCCCTCGTGGTTGGAGTGTATGAAGGTACTCAAGGTGCCAACGTTGCCAAAATTGTTGGGCATACAACTCCACCAAATTCCACCTATGCAGAAATGGTGGACTATCCGTGTCATATTGCCTTTCTGGTAACGCTACTAATGGCCGACCAATTAAGAAATGGCCAGGGGTGAGAACCTGATAATCACGTGGGTCAGAGGAGAGTGGAGTGAGAGGACGTGAATTTAGAATAGCCTCAATACGGGCTGTCAACGTTTGAAACTCCTCTTGAGTTAATACACTATCACCCATCACCCGTTTCAGGTGTAGTTTAAAACTTTTTACTGCAGCTTCGTACAGACCCCCCAAATGGGGCCCTAATGGTACATTGAAGCGAAATTCCACTCTGTTATTGTGAGAAAACAATATTAAATTTGGGTCC